GACGAAAGAGGAAGAAGAAGGAAAAGATGAAGAAGAAAGATGAATGGATCCGTCATTTTAATTCTAAAAAGAAGACAAATGAAGAAGATAAGAGGATCTTTCGTTTCAATTCGAGGAAGAAGAAAAGAGAAGATAAAGGAGGAAGATAAGAGGATATGTCGTTTCAATTTTGGGAAGACAGAAGAAGGAAGAAAAGACTTCGTTTGAAGAATTTAAAAGAACAAGGCGAGATGAAGGATTGGGAAAATTGAAAGGGTTATGGTTAATTTGAATTAGGGATTGGGAATTATATTGTAATTAGGGTATATGAAATGACATGTCATTTAAGTTTTTGTAACTGATTTTCCATGTTAGTGCTTACGTGGAATCTTACGTGGCGTATTGAGTCATGTTCTCACGTTTTGTCACTTGCCATGTCGGCATTGATTGGATTTTTGATTAAAAAATTAGATCGGTGCTAATATTGTTATCGGACGCTTAATTGGTGACCTTTCTATATAATTTTTAAAGAACGAGCTAAAATCATTAAAACATATGTAGTTCATGATTTTCCGGTACATTAACCCATAATTATATCATGTGTATAATGAATTGAAATTGTTGATTTGAAATCAATGTTAATGATCGAAAAATTAACTACGGAGGTGGAAAATGTACACATGTCAAGTATTTACATGGAACAAAAATCTTTAGAAGTGAGGTAAAAGGGGCAACTTCTTATAAACTTCGAATATGTATCTAAATTTTCAATTGAATCCATAATCTTTTTTTTCCTTGATTCGATACATAAACGGATCCTTGAATTTCTTAGATGGATGATATTAACTAAAGTGGCCATTAAGAATTTTTGATAGATCCTTATTAAAAAAGAAAATGAAATTTTGATAGATCGGAGATAGCTGAAAAATAATTATTATTTTAGCGATCGAATAGAAAACAATATACAAATAGGAGGTTGAGATTTTATTACAATTTTTTATTAAAAAATCATGTGCTATTCGATCGATTTTTTTAAACTTAAACAAATTTTGGTGAAGGAGTCGACCAAGAGAGAAAGTTGTATTGCTCAAGAACCATGAGCAACTAAAAAATCCTAGAACAACTAGAATAATCTAATGCATATGGCAATGGACGAATATCCAGTCCATTAATTCGGCTTTTTATCTTACATATCAAAATAATACTTTACCCATTATCCATTAAAAAATCATCATATAAATTTTTACTCAGTCCATACTCGATCCATGCACACTCGCCCATATAATAACCATTAAATACCTATTAAATTTAATTTATCAAAAATATGCATTTTAGTCCTTTTATTTAAAAAATTTTTTTATCCTTCAATTTTTTTTTTTGTATTTTGGTCATTTATTTATTTATAAGTGTTTTTTATCCTCAAGGTTTTTAAGAAAAATATTTTGATCTTTAATCTTAAAATTTTATGCAATTAGATCCCCGCACGTTAATAAAAAATTTTTAAATAAATTAGTGGGTATTAATAAAGTAAAGAATAAGTATTCATATCTTAAAACTATATTAATGGATATGTATTTTTTTATTTTTACTCAATTTAATACTCATTGAATATTTTTAATGAGTATTTATTAAATCGAATAAAAGGAATATCCATTTTACACTTAGTTCATTGTCATCACTCGATAGTTATAATGTGGATTGCAGAATGTTATGCCCATACAAGTACCCATTTGATCATAAGGTCTCTAATAACATATTGTTTTTTTCTTTTTCTTTTTATCTCCGGATGGGGGGCATTCACTCCCATTGGAGTCGAATTTACAACCCTTTTCTTACTGCCACTTCTTGCAAAAAGGAGGACTGATAAAAGCTAAAGCTTAAGCAGTTACGCTGGAGATTTCAACAATATTAATATGCAACAAATAGAATGTTGTTAAGCTCTAGCTTGTTCAATTTTTAAACAACGTGCTTCAAAAGAGGCATCTTTTCCAGCTAATTAAACGATCAACATCGATTTGAGGTTCTTGGTATAAATATCCAATATAACAACAGTCAATCAATTAATCCACATTTGCATCTCTTTCAAAGCTCTCTCTGTCCGATTCTGGTGCATATAGTGCCGGTTGGGGAACATGGACTGCACTTGGAATTGCAGAGTTGCTTAATTGCTAGAAATTTGCCAAAAATCAAACCATACGACACCTGTCCATATTGCCAAATCCCAACTCATCATGACTCAACAAGCTGTGATTAGGTACTTGACAAATGCAATGAGCACTGATTAAAAAGGAAACGTGAATTGCATAAAGAAAAAAGGAAACCCACCCACCTAACCTGGGCATGAACTTTCTGTAGTCTAATATATATATATATATATATATATATATATATATATATTTTGGTTTTAGCTCTAGCATTCACGTCATACATTAGAGTTATTATTAATTTTGTTCAAAAGAGAATAATAAGATTATTATTTTTTAATAAATATGATTTTAAAATTCAAATCATGAATTTTAATAATATTTGGTTGGGAAATCAATTCGATTATCATTATCTTAACAACTTCTTGTTGGATGGTTACCCGTAGCATAACATTAATGGGAATTGAGTAGAGATTCCAAATGCAATCAATACCCATTATTTTCCAACGCCTTACCATGTGCTGTAGTACTCATTTCTTTATTCTTATTCTTCTCACACGACATCATTGATCCCACATCAACTCATTACTTTTTTTTCCCCGTAACTTCGTATGCAAGTTCTTTTTCTTTCCAAACAGTTAAGTGCCATGTTCGTGGACCCTAAATTGCATGGCTTCCTTTTTTTGCTTTTGTGATGGATCTATTCATGGCTTTCTTTCTGTCCACGACTTGTTCCTTCCTACTTAGTGAAGAAAAGTCCGACTCTCACGATCAATGCACATGCAGAAACTGTAAGAGCATTTTTATCTCAACTTTTTTGTGTAGGGACTATTAAAGTAAAAGCACATACCCTAGTATACTGAAAATTAGAGGGCGTGAATTAGCAAGTAAATTAGACCAGACCTAAGTGTATTGGATAACAAATAGAAAGCCTACATCCTACAGTATATAGCCTCCTACAGAAGAAGTATACCTGGAATAAGTACTGGTCCTAATTCCTAATACTAATATACAAGAATTGTTACGGAGTGGAGTGGTCCTGATCCTCAAAAATTTTGTTTTTATTAGTAACTTGTCCTAACTGTGCCAAGCCCATCCTATCAGACAGGCTGGCTTTTACCCCGCTTGTTCCCTTGTTAAATTGACCTCTACCTCATTTTGCCACAAAGCAATTGATTCTTCCTTATGAAATAGAGGAACAATTTCATGGAAAATAAGTCTATGAAAATAAATGTCAAAGGTTGTCTCTCGTGCAATTGATGGAACGATAATTTGATAGGTCAACAAAGATCAGTTGCAAATTTTAATGTGGAAACAGGAATTCTCAAGTGGAGTATTCAGTTATGGATCATTCTATAGGACTTAGGCAGGGCTAGCTTTTTAAGCTCTCAACTCTGGCAACAATAAACTTTGATGAAGTGCCTGCCTCTAGTATTGGTGATCCTATATATAGTAGACTTGCATTATTCAATTTAATTTGTTATTAACTTCTCTTTTCTTAACCTCACACACGTGGACTTCTTCACAATCACGAATGCATTCATGATTCAACGCGCCCATCAGCAATTCCATGCACAAATTGAAACTTCCAACCATTTGTACAATAAATGTACAGTTGCAGTTATCCTGGCAAAAAATAATTACCGTATTAAAAGATCACGTAAAAGTTTTCTAGTATTCCTATCATCTCCTAGTTGCGGTTTGGCAGCTTTTCTAAGCTCTTGTAAAAACATCCATTTTGATGCTTTAACCATGATGTCAAGTCTAATCTGACTCGATTGGTTGACTCAATGATCCCAAACTTGTTCCAAATCATATTTGAAATGGGACAAATTAAAGAGTAGATCTAATCAAATTCGATCCGTTAATAATTTGACTTTAATAAATAAATAAATAACTAGATCCCCGAAGCTAAAATTCAAACCCAGTTCTCTCTCTTTTAACAAAACATGCTTAGCCGACACATCATTTTTGCACTTGTAATACATTAAGCTAACCCAACCTGGCGACCCGAGGCGAGAATCGATTCTAACAACTATGTCTTTGGCTAATAAGCAAGTTCTAAACAGTTTTCGAAGTAATTTTGAAAGCCTTGATCAATTTAGTTCCAAAAGAGCCATAAAAACTACTCCACGTTGACAGCTAAGAATTAACCATTACCAAATACAATTGCGACATGCGGGCCACATGGGCCTCACTCTTACACGTGAGCTTCGCAGACACTATACACGACACTTTCTTGCATATTTACAAATTTAAAAGGGAAAGATGGCGCTTCCCTACAGGAAACGATGGGAAAAAAAGAGTACGATGTTGACAATAGACACATTTAGATGAGCAAAAACCGGTTATGCACATGGACAGTTAAATAGCAAGCATACGCTGGAGTAGATGTCTCGTAGATAGAATCCAACAAAAAGTAGTGACCGTTGAACAAAAGGACAAATAAATTTAATAAAAAATGCTCCTAAAAAAGAGGGGGCCTTGTGTGGCTGCAAAGATATACGAAAAGATAATTAAATAAACTTTTCTGGGAACATTTTTCTTCAAAATGTCGTTCTTTATAATGATAATCTAACAAAAGATGATCAATACATAACTTTTCCTTAACAATAATTATATTACTCTTCTCAAACTTTGTAGCAATGATTGCACGAAAAAGTAAAATCCCATATTATCTTGTCAACCAACCGTTGCTTGCTGGCCAACAAATTAACAATTCCAACAGAGCCACAGCTCAGCTTGCCTCTAGTGCTTCCACCGCATCCACCACCATCATTATCAATCCGTCACCACCATCTCTACCTCTAGCAAAGATGAGTCAGTGCTAATTATTTTTCAAGTCCAAACTATATAATTATCATATGACCAAATGAGTCAAATTCGTACACAGCTTTGTTGCTTAAACCCAAATCTCTCATTCTCCAAATCAAACTCTACATAAAAATTCCTCTGATGATAATTCCCCAAAATAATGGCCGGTCCACCTCCAATTCCAGGACCAATCACATTGTCACTCACAATTGTCAAGCATATAACTTCAGTACCAACAAATGAAAAATAATTTGCCGAAGGTAATGCCATCTTAGCACCACCCTTAAACTGAAAAATCAAATCCGGGAAAAAAACAGATTTCTCACCAGAAATATTGAAACAAGGCCTTAAACCGGTCAGAGTCTGAACTTCAGTGGCTGCTGTATAATTGGCCATTTGCTTCTCAAATTCCTTAGCCACTAACTCATAAACTGGCTTCTCCATGAATGTGAATGTTGTCCCCGAGTCCACAATAGTCCCTCCATTACCATCTGATCCTGGGACCAGAAATTTGTACGGCACTTTAACATGTGTGCCCCCTATGACAATCTTACGCAGCAATACATAATAGTAATCTCGAAATGCATTGTTTGAATTCTTTTGAAAGGGTGTGTACCTAAGCCCGGGGGTCTTGGTATCTCCCGAACCCGACCCGGAATACAAAACAAGATCACTGCTTTCTGGAGTGTCATCAAAAGCGTGAGGTACTAGACAGTAAGAGAATTTCCTGAGACCCAATTGTGAAGGGAGTGATTCGGGGCTCCGACCGAACCCGGCAATCCCCTCGGGTTGTCTGATGGAGAAAATGGAGCATCCGACAAGAAAACCGGGTATGGTTTTCTTATCTGGAAAATCGAGAGTTTCAGATAGTAGAAGTCCCGCTGTGGAGCCTGAAGCATATTGAAGTACATAAGGTGGACAAGTTTGAGTACAGTTTTGGGAAGTGGGGTCACATTCTTGGCATTTAGATTGAATCTTGGGGCCAAAAAAGGATGAACATTTGGGGTTTTTGCAACCAATGAGCTTTGAAGAGGATGATAGTTTTGGTATAAAGGTTGGGATTCCCGTTATTTTAATGCTTGGGAAGTCACATTTTGAGCAACGATAGCGAGAGGTACAAGGAAACCAAACAAGACTAGAACCAGTGTCCATGTTAAATTTGGTTGTTTGTGGAGGAGTACCAAAGTTAAGAGAGATGGAGTAGCCACCATAGCTACGTGGAAAAAGAGGGATCTTGATGAGAGAAAAATTGGTTTTTGGGGACTTGATGTGGTGGGCTCTTGTGAGAGAGAGAGAAGCGAGGTGATTGAGTGTACCCCATGGATCCTTTAAGAATACGATCGGTTTGGTGGAGCTCGGAGCTGATAGAGGGATGGTGATGGTTGTTGGCGTTGATTTTGATGATGATAATAAGACGAGAAAAGAGAGGAGAAAGAGAAGCCAACGAAAAGCCATGGAAGTATTGTATTCTCTTCTTCTTCTTCTTTTCAGAATGAAAATTCTCTTCTTCTTCTTGTTGAGAGCGTGGGAATTTGTAAGAGATTAAATTATAAATTAGTCACTCAAGTTTTTCAAAATAAGTAGTCCTTTTAGTTTTAATAACTAATTAATTAATCCTTATATTTTTAAATCTATTCTTAACTGAATTTTTTTTTATTTTTTTAAATAAAAATGAAAAATATTGATAAAAAAATACGTTTTTAAAATAAAATAATATTAAATTAGTCATGATCAATGTTAATCAAGAGACTAATTAAGAAAGGACTATTTAAATCATTTTGCAAAAGTAAAAGGATTAATTTATAATTTAGCTGTGGTAAAGATAAGAAAGTAGGAAATTTTTGTTCTTTGCTTCGTGTGGTTTTTTTAAAGAGGAAGAAACCAAGAAGTGGAGTAACGGTAGACAAGAGAATCAAATTCGATTGTGGGGATGCAATTGTCTTCTATCATGTACAGAAATAACAAAGAATGCCATTGTGCCTTTGTGTGCTTGTCTCTTGTGGCACTAGTCTTGGTTAATTACTTGCACAGAAGTTCAGGATATATTTTAAAAAAAATCACCATTCTATAAATATATATATAATTGGGTTATATTCGGGGGTATTTTTCTCGTTCTAAACTAGTGACATAACATGTTTAAACCAAACTAATCTAAATTTGATATTATTAAAAAATAATTATGAATAATTGTTCTTAAATAATTTTTATATAATTTTTCTGAATGAAAATTCTCTTCTTCTTGTTGATAGTGTGGGAATTTGCAAAGAGATTAAATTATAAATTAGTCATTCAAATTTTTCAAAATAAGTAGTTCTTTTAGTTTTCATAACTAATTAATTAGTCCTCATATTTTAAAATCTATTCTTAACTTAATTCTTTTTATTTTTATTTTTTTAATAAATAAAAAATATGAAAAAGATTGATGAAAAAAATAAAATTTTTAAATAAAATAATATTAAATTAATCATGATCAATATTAATCAAGAGACTAATTAATTAGGTTTTTTAAGAAAGGACTATTTAAATCATTTTGCAAAAGTAAAAGGATTAATTTGTAGTTTAGCTCTCGTAAAGATAAGAAAAGCAGGAAGTTTTTGTTCCCTGCTTCGTGTGTTTTTTTATAGAGGAAGAAACCAAGAAGTGAAGTAACGGTAGGTAGGGGATCAAATTCGATTGTGGCGGTGGAATTGTCTTCTATCATGTGCAGAAATAACAAAGAATGCCATTGTGCCTTTGTGTGCTTGCCTCTTGGCCACTAGTCTTGGTTAATTACTTATACAGAAGTTCGGTATATACTTAAAAAAAAAAAATCACAATTCTATTTATAATTAATAGTAACTTTTTATATATTTATAAATAGTATGGTGTTTTCGGGCCCTTCTTTTCGTACTAAACTAGTGACCGAAAGCGTTTAAACCAAACCAATTTAAGTTTATTATTAATAATAAATAATTATGATTAGTTATTTATAAATATTTTTTATAGAATTTTTTATGTTAAGATTTGGACTTTGGAGCTTAGAGTATGATTTCTACATACAAACACTGAATTTTAGATTTTATCAGACAGGCGTAGTCAAACATCTCTATGACAATTTTAACATCATTTCTATGCAAGGAAATAAAAGAAATTGAGGAGTGGAGAAGTAATAGATTATTTATGGGGGAGCTTTTTTACTATTTTCTTTTTTTTCCTCATTGGTATCACTAAATCCCACTTGCAGATTAGCACCAACCAAAATTGAACAAGGAAAAAAAAATCCTTTAAGGAGGGCAAAATTGCAGCAAAGCCTTGATCGATTTACTGAAGATCGAACACTCTAGTGAAACCTAATTGACTTGGCTGCAAATTGTTTTTAGCCATTTAAAAAGCTATTAGTGTTTGGTCTTGGTCTCCCTCACTCAGTGAGTACAGTGAGAAGCACAAGAATTAACAACTTCTATGCCATACATCAGACCAAATGAATACACTTGATTTGTTTATAAAAATAAATTAAGTAATTTGATTAATCAAGTTTTAATTCATGAATTTTTCATTAATTTGGTATGCATCTAAATTACATAATAAATATATTGAATTGATGATTGGTTTCATTTAGTACTAGATTTTAAAATACCTAAACACTAATACTCCACTGTCTTTAAGATTCATCGGAAAGATTGATTTAATGAGTTTGGAACAAGGTCAAATATAAAAAAACTCAATTGTTACTTTTTTTTATATATATAACTTTTACTAGTAAGTTGAAGTGATTTAGCCTAAAAAAAATATGTTTTTTTATTTATTTCAAACTCGATCTGTTCAAACATGATGACGGAACAAGATCCTAGCGATCGAAGACATCTTTCTTTCACTATAAATACTAATCTCATATCAATGTTGAGGATTTTAACTTTTTAATATTTAGCAAAAAAAAAAACCTCTAAATTTTCTTACAAAACTCTCTCATTCACATATACCGGACATCACATAAAACTCCATTTGTTTGGACTTTGACCATATACATTCTACTTGACTTGCATCTTATTAGCACTTACTCGCTCTTCTCTTATATATCTTACTCGCATACATCGATTTTATTTGATTGTCAATTGTTACTTTTGCAAATCACAATTCTAACTCTTTATACTCTAATTAATAGGTTGATCTTTTTTAAATTTGTTTTCGAGAAACCCCTACACACTAATTGAGTTCTAATCTTCCACGTTATACTTTAATTAAATAACTAATATAATCATGTCATAATGAAAGCAACAAGTCTACAATAGCGAAACTCAAAATTTCTATATGATCTCAAGTTTCAACACTACTAAGAAATTGGGATAGAGATTTTGTAATCAACTCATATAATCACGTCACTATAAATGCTACAACAAGTCTACAACATTGAAACTTGAAATTTCTATGTAATCTCAAGTTTCAACTTCACTAAGAGAAGTAGGATAGAAATTTAATAATGACAAGCCCTTAATTAAAAAAGAAAATAAAAACTACAATCATCACTCGATTCTATTATAACCTCCACACCATAATTTTTTTTAAAGCACAATTTTTCTTTTTCTTTTTCTTTTTCCTTCTTCTTCTTCTTCTTCTTCTTCTTCTTCTTCTTCTTCTTTTTTTATATATTTACAATTCAAATTGTACTAGTTCCAAAAAAAGTGTAATTTTTCTTTTGCTACCATCTTTTTTCTTTTTTATTTATTTTCTTTTATTTTCACTTTTTTATTAAAAAAATTATCGTATTTCAATTCATTTTTTTATTTGATATTTATTGTTTTGAGCGCGCGTCACAATATGTTAACTTAATAGTAAAATGAAACATCGTTATTCTCCAACTCTAACCATAGCAGAAGAAAGTAAGCTTAACAATAATATGAAACACCATTATTCACTAAGTCTAACAATAACAAAAGGAAGTAACAATAACAAAACCAAATATATAAAGATGATATTAGAAAAAAACAAGTAAAGAGACGTTTAAACATAAAATCAAAAGTCCAAAATTCCTTATATACTTATGTAATTATTTTATTATTATTATTTTATCTTAAAAAGAGAAAGATACGGATAGCATTTAGCTCTACATTGTGACATTGTAAACCTAGTTGTAATACATGGTGAGATCCATGTGTGCATATGTGTGTGTGTGTGTGTGTATGTGTGTTTAGGTAAATATACTCATATGTTTTTATATGGGTTTACCCCATAATTAGTCTATGTAGAGATTTAATTTTTTTGATAGACACCTTTTAATATTTTTCAGCTTGATTGAAACCTTTTACTCTTAAAAATTTATTGATTGAGATCCACCGTTAGCTATAAATCCTACGTGGTGCAATAAAAATGATGATAGCCAATCAAAAACCGACATGTGAAAATGTAGATCCCAGCTTTGAGATTATAATTCTAAAAAAAAAAAAGAACTTATAAATCTGGAAAAAATAATTAAAATAAGAAATTGTTATTTTATAAAAATAAAAATAAAAAGATAAAAAACCCCTCAACATATTATTTTACACCCAACTCGTTATTTTTTTCATTTTTATGTTATATGAAAATCCTTAAACTCTCAACCTTCTTTTCTTCTCCAATTATCCGGCAAAATCTACCTCAATTTTCTCATTTTCTTTGTAAATTGCAACTCTTCTATTCTTCTCCATTATTTTGGCAATCCCAATTGCCTCGATTCTCTTATTTTATTTGTTTCAAAATCCCTAAATTCTACATCTTCTATTCTTCTCCATTATTCGGCAATTTGCCCAAATTATGTCATTTTATTTGTTTCAAAATCCCTAAATTCTAACTATTTTCTTCTTCTTCATTATTCTAGCGATCTCTAAATCCTTAACGTAACACAAATTATGTTTTTGTTGAATCCTTAAACCTCTAAATCCCTAATCCCTAATTTTTGAAATCCCTAAATTGGAACCTTTGTTCGTCTTTTGTAGTATCTTCTCGTAATCCAGGAAGACATGACCACTTCATCCATATCATCTTCATTATTTAAACATTTAGATGTATCACAACTCGTCAATATATACACTTGGTGATTAAAAATTACAGTCATGTTATGAAGAACTATCGATTATGTGTTTATATGGGATGGAAACATAAAGGTATTGTCTTAGAGTGAGGAACACCTGTGTGTTAGATTTAATGTTTGCCCACTAAAATTCAATACAAAAGGAAGAGAAGATGTTGTCTATAGTTTTAAAGCATGGTTTAAGGATGATTCGGATTATAGAGCTAAAGAGATTGTTTTGAGCTTGCAAAATTGGCAAAAACAAATACATGCAAGTAACCCTAACAAAAAGGATATATCCGATTTTTTGCATCCCTACTAATAACTAACAAAATTTCTCTTTTTAAAGGACCCTTCAAAAAGCATCATCTAACCCTATAATTGGTCTACATCCGGCTTTTAAGCCTTTTTTTATAGCATGAAAACACATATA